TTATTAGCACAAGCATTGACAGCTATGGAAAAGAAAAAAAGTTAAAAAAATATAGTAAATATGTAGTTGAATTAATTATTCATACTAATGCTTTCAACCTTCTACCACCGCATTTTCTCCTTGTGCACTGCCAATAGGCCCACTAGAAATATAACTTTTCTGAGTTATCCTTGGTAGTGGGTTTCACACCAAAACCAAACCAAATCTAAAAATTCTCACCAATTAAAAGTAGACACAATTCAATACTATTTTGCATACACCTTTGTCTGGCATGGTTTATAGTTAAGGCATTTTAGTAATGAAATGTCCAATCTTTACTACCATTGGATAAATTATTTGATTTTTTAAAATTGAGCAATAGATTTTTTAATTCATTTTTCAATGTTAATACGAGGATGCATCTTTAATAGGTTTATATAATTGCTTTTAATGATATAATTAAATTGATTTAGGATGCATTCCTAGTTAAGCGTGTAATCAGCACTACTAATATCATTCACCTCCTACCAGGTACCCATTTATACAAGTAGGGGGTTACCCCGGTGTACTTGTTCATACAGCCCCTGTTGTGGACAGACGAGGGATTGCTGGTAGCACAGACACAAAGGCCTTAGGGGAGAAGAAAGTTGCTGCGCGAGCTAGTCCACACCTCAAGCGATTTTTGAGACTGCGGTATAAAGTGCTTTATAAATCGAATCACATTACATTACTTCCTAAAAATCCAAACCAACTATTTAATAGATATAAGTATTGCTCTACCTGTTGTACAAAATTTTTTTCACATTCACTTTTGAATGTTATTACGAGGATGCATCTTTAATATGTTTAATATGTGTCTTTTATGGAATGAAAATATAATTTCATTTACTAATTTAATTTTGGTATTTCAATGTGTTCCATATGTGTTTGATCCAATGACCAGGGTAGTAATGTGAAGCGCTTAGAGGCCTTGTAAAGGCATGAAGCGCTATATAAGAACGACATATTGTTGTTATTATTATTATTTTAACAATTATTTTATTTAGGAAGCATTCCTAGTTATGCGTGTAATCAGCACTACTAATGTCATTTCAAATCATTCACCTCCTACCAGGTACCCATTTATACAAGTTTGGGAGACAAGAGGAACCTGGTAGCTCAGACACGAAGGCCTTAGGGGAGAAGAAAGTTCTACGGCTGACTGGATAAAAAATTGCTCTACTACCTGTTGTACAAAATGTTCCAGTGAAGCAACCTGTACAGGTACAGGTATAATCAGTGCAGGAACCAGCAACAGCAGTACATGCTCCTCCATTCTGGCAGAGGTTATTAGCACAAGCATTGACAGCTATGAAAAAGAAAAAAAGTTCAAATAAATATAGTAAATAATATATAGTTAAATCAATTATTCATACTAATGCTTTCAACCATCTAACACC